AAGGATTCTGGGGCTTCGTCTGACATACTTTGGACATGTTGTAAGGAGAGACAGGTCCTTGGAGAGGGACATCATGCTTGGTAGGGTTGAGGGACAGCGCAGGAAGGGAAGACCCTCTAAGAGGTGGATTGATTCGGTGACTGGGGTAATCGGGATGGGTGTGTCAGAGGCAATGCAGTTGGCACAGAATAGAGCAGGGTTTAGGACTGTTGTATATAGGGTCGCTGTGAGTCGCAAACGACTCGACGGCACATAACAACAACAACAACATGCCTAAAGTATATGAGACAAAGTGTTGTCATCTTTACCTCGAAGGAACAATCTGGCTGTACTTTCTCCAAAACTTATCAGTTTGGTTTTTTGTTGGTTTGTTTTTTTTTTTTATAGTCCATGGGATATTTAGTACTCTTCTCACAACACCAGTTTTTTAAAAAAATATGCTGTTGATACCATTTGTTGTTGTTTTTGAGTGCTGTTGAATCAAGTAGAATGCAAAGGGACTCAGTGAACATAAGTTCTAAACCATGTCCTATCCTTATCATTGCTAAGATACTTAATCCTATTGTAGCACCCATTGTGTCAATCCACCTGGTTGAGGGTCTTCCTCTCTTTCACTGACTCTCCACCTTTCCAAGCATGATGTCCCTCTGCAGGGAGTTGCCTCTTAAAACCACATGCCCAAAGTACCCATGCATGAGACACTCAGCAGTCTTCTTCTGCACCACAACTCAAAGGCATCGATCCTTCTTCTGTCATCCTTATTCTCAGATGCACAGCAGGTGGCTGAAAAGATCATGATTTGAAGCAGGTTCACCTTAGTCTTTGAGCTGACATCATTGCTCTTCAGTACTTTGGAGAGGTCCCTGATAGCAGACTTTTCCTGTGCAGTACATCTTTTGGCTTAATTTTTTTTTTAAATTGTGATTTTAACAAAAGTTTACAGAAAAGTTGGATTTTTATTCATTCATTGTTGCACATCTTTTGATCTCTTGACTGCTGGTACCATGGGGATTGTGGATCCAGGGAAGGTGAAGTCATTGACAACTTCAGTCTTTTCTCTGTTTATCAATGATCTTGCCTGTTGGCCCAGTGGTGAGGATCTTTGTTTTCTTGTTATTGAGATGTAATTCATATTCCAAGCTGTAATCTGATCATCTGCAACAAGTGCTTCGAATCTCCTCACTTTGTGCAAGCAAGAATAATAAAAGAATGCCTTATCTGTAGCTTGTTATCATACATATTCTGTCTGAGGCAGATTTGGAAAGCATTTTCATTGTCTAGAAAAGTATCAGATAAGGTATAAAATAAGACATTTGGTGTGTATGTTACCTGTTTAGCCCCATGTAGGTTAAGCACTAGATATTGGCAAGAATGCCAAGCTTAAAGAATGCTAATGAGTTCCTGCCCGGTTGGATGACTAGAGGTGAAGCCCTGTAACATCTCTAAGCTCTCTCTGTTGGATATTTTACTGTCAGTTGTAGACAAGATTGTATTAGCTTCATAGCACTGCTGTAACAAATTACCACAAACTTGGTAGCTGAAAGCAGCACAGATTGACTGCCTTACAGTTCTTCAAATTAAATGTCCAAAATAGATTTCATAGCAATGAAATCAAGATATTCAGGGCAGGGCTGGATTCTGCTAGAGGCTCCAGAAGAATTGTTTCTTTGTCTTTTCCAGCTTTCAGGGGCTGCCCAAATTTCTGGGTTCGTGGTCACTTCTTCCATCTTCAAACCCAGCTTCTAAACATTTTCAAATTTCTCCCCTATTCTAACACTCCTTCCTTCCTATTCACTTATAAGGACCCTGTGATTACCCTGGGCCCACCTGGATGATCTAGAAGAATCTCACCATCTCAAGAATTTTAACTTAATCATATCTACCAACTCATAGGGAACCTGTGAACATCAGATCTAAACCATGGCCTTTCCTGTGTCAGTCCACCTGGTTGAGGGTCTTCCTCTCTTCCTCTGACAGAAGGAAGCAGACAGGAAGTCAACCCCTCACTGCCCTAAGCTGGGCCTGTGTGCAGGACGCGGTCCACGGCTGCATGTCCCAGCTCTGAGTAGAGCCCTGTCCTTTTCTGAAGTGGCTTCTTTTCTGTCCTTTCATAAATACAGAGAGCATCTTACAGCTGAAGTCAGGGCAGATGGGCTTTATGCCCTGACACTGGAACCATCAGATTGCCACGAGGGAGTCTTTGCTAGAACTGGGGACTCAGAGAAGGGGAAGATTCCAGAAGGAGGCCCTGAGTGTGGTGGGTTTGTTGTTTTCTGTTCATTTATTTCATTGGTGAGACTGTATACAGTAAAAACATGGGCCAGTTCAGCAGCTTGTGTGTGTACAGTGAGACGGCAATGGTTGCATTCTCCTGGTCCCCATGGTGTGATATCACAGGTGAGGTGGGGATGCTGGTGGCCCTGCCCTATGAGCGTGGTCTGGCCCTATGCACCTAGGCCAGGCTCACCCTTCCGCCAGCTTGTCTCTGGTTGCATTCTCAAGTCAGGGCTCGAGCTGAGTAGCTACCAGTGGACACCATGTAGAGGTCACTGCCTGGCCCTATGGAGACTTTTGCTGAGCCTTGCTCTTGGGGCACCCCCTGCCCCATCCACCACTTTCCCACCACCCTCATGTCTGCACTGAGCTGTGCACACAGTGTGGAAGGAGTCCAGAGAAGCAAGCGAGGACTCCCAGCTCTCCTGGGGCCTGGACACCGCATGCCCCCTCTCCTCCCATTCCAGTGCGTGCTGTCCACCGGCTCCTGGAGCATCGTCACCACAGCGTCGCCTGGCCCTCCACCGAGCGTCCTGTCACCCAGCTGACCAACGCCATCATCCGGCGCGTGAACGAGGCGTCTGGACTCTACCAGATGTTCGGTGTGCTGGCCGACGTTGTCCTGCTAAAGGAGTGAGTAGCAGCCCCTCCACTCAGCTTCCCCCACATGCCCTGGCCTGGCTTTGCTCTCTCTGCCCTCGTGGGAGAGAGTGGAGCATCACAAGTGCTACAGACAGACAGACAGACAGACAGACCTGGGCCCGAGCCCTGGCTCCGTGGCCTTGGGCAGGTGAGTGAGCCTCTTGGAGCGTTTCTCTCATCTCCTGTAAAACGGAGGTGATAGCATGCCCAGCAGCAGATGACGGGTCGGGAGTGAGGGGTTCCCACGGGCCGGGACTGACTGTGCTGTCCCGTCAGCCGATCACATCATGGAGGACAGGTTCTGAGAGGGAAACAGCTCAGTGCGCAGAGGGGAGGAACGCTGTGTCCAAGGGCTAAGAGAGCACCCAGGGGACACCTAGGAAAGTGGCAGGGGAAGGACTCTGTGATCAGGAACAGCCTGGTCAGGTAAATTGGGTTCTGGGATGTGCTTGAGGTCTGAAAGGGTGGAGGCGGACTTCACGCTTATCTGCAACCCTGTGATCATCCCTGACCTCTGGGTCACACCCCTTCACCCTGTACCCATCCTGGCCCATCTCCAGCACCCCCTGGAGCTCACCCTGACTCCTTGTTCACGCTGCCAACTGACCCACATATACATCCCGGCCGACCCCCAGCCCCGCACTCACCTCCCACCCACAGCTTGTCTCAGCCCTACTCTGCACCCACTCCCCACCCCGTCAGAGTCCAGGCGACCCCTGTGAGCTCTGCCTTCAGCTTTGATATTGTTTGATCACCTCACTGGCTTTGCTGCTCCCACCACATCCCTCCCCTGCGCTCACACGACAGCCGCTCAGTGGGCTTCTCTGCCCTCCTGTCAACAGAGTAGGCAGAGCGAAGCTTCTAGAACAGTCACTAATATCAGCTCTGTGCTCTCCAGGGATGGGTGGCTTCCCTTCTTACCCCACAGATAATTCTACAACCCCATCATCACCGGTAACCCCATGAGCTGACCCCTGCCCACCTCCCCAGCTCCTCCCTCCATCACCCTCCCTCGTTCCCTCCCTTCTGGCCCTAGGGGGTCTTGCTGTTCCTTGAACCAGCAGCCCCTTGCCCCGTGCCCAGGTGCTTCCAGACTGCTTCCACGGCTGGACATTCTTGACCCTGGTTTCTTTCTGATGTGACATAAGGTTTCCTGAGCTCTTTCCCACATGTCACGGGAGGTGGGTGAGTTGACGGGAGGCTTTGACACTTTGCATGGAGCTTCCTGGAGTGGACGTGAGTGTGTATGTACGCACACACACATGTGTACACGCACACCCTTCACCTCTGCCACAGTGACAGGGCCTCCTGACCTGTGTTGCCTTGTCCCCAGGAATGCCACAAGGTTTGAGTACCTGGAGGAGTTCCCCATGCAGATGCTGGCCCAGCTAGAGACCCTCACGGGAAGAGAGGCCAAGCATGGGCTCTTCGTCATCAACCTGGAGTACGGCAGGAACTACTCGGGCCCCGACAAGGACGTCTTCTTCTATGACCGCTCGGTGGGGCACATGGAGGACGCATGGCAGTCTAACTTCCTCCACCCCGTCATCTACTTCTACAGACACCTCCCCACCGGTGAGCCGGGGATCTGCCCTTACCCCCCGCATGGCAGTTCTTGGACCCCATGGTCTGTAGAGTTGTCACCGTCCAGCCCTCTTCAGCCGTCACCTGATAAGGGCACCAGTGAGGGGCTCGACCCAGAGGCCAGGCAGGGGCAGAAAGTCAGAGGATGAGCATTGATGTCCCACATTCTAGAACATTCCATGACCTGGACAGTCCACACTTGGACCATCATAACTTCTTCCATGTACCCCAAGGAAGAGGACGATTGGCGTGTTGAAGTGCGTTCAAAAAGGCTGACCATGGTGACGGGGCTGAGAAGGGTCGAAAAAGAGAAAAGGGGACTGGAGTGGGACTTTCAGAACTAAACAAAAGCACAGCAAAGAGTGGGCCAGAATCCCAGGGCTGTCCTTTCCTTGCTGTGTGACCTAGGGCCATCACTTAACCTCTCTGAGCCTTGGTTCCCTTATCAATAACAACAGTACTTTCCTTATAAGAGAGATGATATGCACAGGATGCACAGGGCTTGGCCCAGAGTAATTACTAAGAAGTGAACCCCTGGACACCACCCCCCTCCCCACCACCACCCCCTGGGCTCCTGAGCACACAGAACTCTGAGGAATGGAAGGGGGCATTCAGCCTGTGGGTGTCCCACAGGGCAGAGGGAGAACCAGTGTACTCTTGGCCCAGAGTAACTTCTAATAAGTCAACCCCTGTAATAAGAGAACTAATAAGAGAACCAGTGTACTTTTGGCCCAGAGTAACTACTAATAAGTGAACCCCTGTAATAAGAGAACTAATAAGAGAACCAATGTAACTCTTGGCCCAGAGTAACTACTAATAAGTGAACCCCTGTAATAAGAGAACTAATAAGAGAACCAGTGTACTTTGGGCCCAGAATAACTACTGTGAACCCCTGGGCTCCTGAGCACATGGATCTCCAAGGACTGTCGTTGGAAGAGGGAGTTCAGCGTGTGGGTGTCCCCCAGGGCAGAGGGAGCACCAGTGAGTCTAAGTGGCAGGTTGACATCTAGCTTAGCAGGCTGTCCAGCTGTGAGGTGAGTGGCCTACAGCAGAGTGTCCCACTCCACGGATGGACAAGTTATGGCTCGGTGACCATCTAAGGAGACACCACAGACAGATTCCACATAAAGCAGGCAGCTGGACTAGATGACCTTACTCGTGTTGGTTTTTTTTTTATTTTTAATTTTTTTTTTACCTATGAAAGTTTACAAAGACAGGGTTTCCAGACATTCATTGTTGCACTTCTCTCCCTGCCCACCCCCTTCCCCCCAATTCACTCTTCTCCTTGAAAAGTAAAAGACAAACTCTTTCATTGTTGATGACCTTACTCTTAAGACCCCTTTCAGTGCGGAGCCTCTGAGTCTGCTCAGGTCGGTAGTGAAGCCCCCACCATAGCCCCTCCATCCACGTGACTCAGAAAAGCACCGAGTCAGCACTCCTTGCTCTGCTTGATATGACAGCGCACTTGTCAGGCGCCTCTTCCACACGCCAGCTTCCCACACATGCGCAGATGACCACTGAACGAGCTGACTGGGGGGCCTTGCTAAGGTGGCTCTGGAAAGCCAGTGCCCAGGGGAGTTCGGGGTGTGCAGGGTCCCCCACTGGAGGTGCTCCAGGTGAACATCGCACGCCTTCCACGAGACTCCCTCTCTTCCCCTACAGAGCAGGAGATGAGGTTCCGCCCTGCAGACTGGCCACTGCCTCGGCCCGCCGCCATCCACCACATCGTGGAAGACTTCCTGACCGACTGGACCGCCCCGGTCGCACACATTCTACCTCTGCGGCGCTTCCTGGAGAACTGCTTGGACACTGATTTGCGAAGCTTCTATGCAGGTAAGTTGGGTTCCCAGACAGCCAAATGGACTGAGGTAGAAGGCAGAGAGAGCGCAGGCCTGCGCCCGCCCGGTGGGGTTTCGGCAGAATCACAAACTCCAGACTTCTGGTTCCTGCAGTACGGTCGATCAGATGTTCACAGAAACACTTCCCAGAACAACACACCCAAAATCGCTGGATAAGATGTCCTTTGTAAACAACTGGCAGGAAAACGGGGGAGCTGGCAAGGGGCAGGTGAGACCAGAACAAAGTGGTGGTGGAGTCTGTTTAGAGACCTTTGAAAAATGCTCAGATCCTGGCAGGTAAGCTAGTGAAAAACACTGCCAAGAAGCAGACAGAAGGGACACAGGCTTGCCCTGCTTGGGCTCTGAGGAGGATAGGAGAAAATTTTCCCTGAGAATGTCCAAACACAGTAATGCAGGAGTTCAACACTCGGCTGCTAACCAGAAGGTTGGCGGTTTGAACCCGGTAGCTTCACAGGACAAAGGTGTGGCAGTCTGTTCCTGTAAAGACGGGGCCGTTCTACTCTGTTCCCTACATTTGCTTTGAATTAGCAGTAATGCAATGGCAGTAGCTCAGGGCTGCACTTCTCATTACCACTGAAATGCAGGAACTCCCTCCTTGTCTCCCCAAAGTGCCAGTCCTTCCTGGAGAAATCTGCTCGAAAACGAAATCTCAAGGAATTCTCGTAGATTAAAATTCCATGAAATATGAGCATCCATTCAAAAGCCAGTTAACGCATGAGGATACAAACACCATGAGGGATTGGGAGCAAAACAAAGGATGGGATCAAGCCTATGAAGATATAGATGGAGAAATAAGGGGTGTGTTTGTGGGGGGGGATGTGTTCTAAATATGTATAGAATCAGTAAGCAGGTGGCACAGATGGTTGAACATTTGACCATTAGCCCACATGCTGGTGGTTCAAATCCACCTGGAGACAGTCCTGGAGGTCCACTATCTAATGGTCTCCACCTCAAGAACCCCACCGAGCAGTCCTACTCAGCACACATGGGGTCACCAGGAGTCAGAATCCACCCCTTACCAGTCAACAACCACACAATAAAACAGACAGAATATAAAGAGTATAAATAAAGATATTTGTAAAAAGAGACTCTTGAAAATACGTTGAAGTAGAGACCACCTAAAAGTGATCAGTTCTGGAAAAAGATCCAAGTAGAACGTGTGGAAATTAAAAAAAAAAATCAATGAGAAATTCAACATGAAGGCACTGCAGTACATTAGCTAGGGAGGGAGAGAGAGTTAGTGACCCAGAACGTGGATCTGACAGCCACACCTGCAGAGGGCCTTAACGAGCTAATTCAAATGATCCAAAGGGGAATTGCACTGAAACAAGTCCATTTATTTTAAATCTTTGCTTATTTTTTAGTCCCTTGAATACTTAGGCTGCCCTAGAATATGTTGTTTAGTTGTTCAGCAAACATTTGTTGAATGTATATTCCGTGTCAGGAGCTATTGTTACTGCTTTCCTCTGTTGCCATCAAGTGACTTCTAACTGATGGCATTCCCATGTGTGCAAAGGAACCCTCCATTAGGGTTCAAGGTTGTGACCTTTCAGAAGAAGACTGCCAGACCCGTTCTCCAGGGCACCTCTGGGTAAGTTCGAACCACTAGCTTTTCTCCTAAAAGCCAAGTGCTGTCAAGGACCTCTCCAGCATACTGAAAAGCAATGATGTCAGTCTGGAGATTAAGGTGCACTTAATCGAGTCCATGGTCTTCACAATTACTTGTCATGCTTCAGAGAATTGGACAATGACTAAGGATGACAGAAGAACAGTCAATGCCTTTGAATTGTGGTATTTTAGAAGAATCTTGAACATACCATGGACTGCCAAAAAACAACCAAATAGGTCTGTCTTGGAGAGGGGGAAACCAGGTTTCTGCTTGGAGGCAAGGTTTTAAGCTCCATCTCACATACTCTGGGCACATGGCCAGGAAAGAGTGGTCCTTGGAGAAGGACATCATGCTTAGAAGGGTAGAGGAACAGAGCAGGAGAGGAAGACTCATGATGAGATGGATTGACTCAGTGACTGGGGCTTTGGGGGTGGGTGTGTCAGAATTAGTGAGACTGGCCCAGGACAGGGCAGGGTTCAGAGCTGCTCATACACGGGCTCATGTTAGGTCACAGGCAACTCAATGGCACATAACAACAACAACACACATTAATGATTTCTCTTTCTCACTAAAATAAAATTAATGTTTCTAGGAAAAATATTTGAGTTATAAAATAAACTAATTGCTTTTCTTTGTCTGAAAAAAAAAAGACAAGTGCTTAACGATTTGCACCACCAAGGGACTCTAGGATACACTAATCTCATCAAGAGAGTTCTGGTAGCTTAGTGTTAAGGGGCTATACTGCCATCCCAAAGGCAGGCGGTTCAAACCCACCAGCTGCTCCCTGAGAGAAAGATGGGCAGTCTCCTCCTGTGCAGTTTGTTATTGTTGTAGTTGTTAGTTGTCACTGAGTCAAGTATGACTCATAGCGACCCTATGAACAAAAGATCTGAACCCTGTTCTGTCCTGCGCCATCCTCACACTTCCTGACGTACTAGAGCCCACTGCGGCAGTCACCGTGTCAGCCTACTGGGTTGAGGGTCTTCCTCTCCTTCACTGACCCCCCACCCTTCCTAGCATCATGTCCCTCTCTAAGGAATAGCACCTCCTAGCAACATGCCTGATGTAAGGCGAAGCCTCATCATTCTTGTCTGTGCAATTTATAGCCTCTAAAACCCTCTGCAGGGTAAGCTGTTAGTTCTGAATTGAAGGTACACAACAACAGTCGTATTAAAGCAAGTGAGAGATAGCCCTCCTCCTGCCTGTCTGCGTGTTCATCCCCAGACGACATCTTCAGTCCACTTTAAATTAAAACTGTCTGTGTTGTGGGAGATGGCTGAAATTACATTGCACGAAGAGACTAAATTAGCAATCTAAAAATAAGGTTGTGCTCAAACCGTTCATTCACAGGGCTCTGGCTGTATGAATGAACTTCAGATGACTCTCATTCTTCCAAGTTGTACTGTCAACGCAAAGGCTCAAGGTTCGAATCCACCAGCTGCTCCTCAGGGGAAAGATGGACAGTCTCCTCTCCTTTAGTTTACTGCCTCTGAAAACCCTCTGTAGAGTCAGGTATGAGTTAATTCTGACTTGACAACATAAAACAGGACCCTCAGCTACAAAATCCCCACTGCTTCTCGAGGGGTCCACACTGCCACCTGCTGGTCAGTTGTCCTGTGGTGACGTTCATGTTGGAAAGCTGCTGGAAGCTAAATCAGTGGTGCTTCGAGTGCCGTCAGGACCACCCATGGTAGACAGGTTTCAGGAGGACTTCCAGACGAAAACTAGGAAGAAAGGCCTGGCAATCTACTGCCAAAAGTTAGCTCAAGAAAAACCCTATAGATCACAACAGGATAGTGTCCAGTATAGTGGTGGGGGCTCTGGGGGCTTAGTGACAAGAAATTGTGCTTGCCAATTCAAAGGCACAAGCCTTGAATCCACCAGCTGCTCCACAGGAGAAAGACGGGAAGTCCCCTCCTGGGTGGTTTACTGCCTCAGAAAACCCCCTGGAGGGTAAGTTGTGAGCCAGTTCTGACTCAGTGGTACTCAGCAACAACATAGAGCTGGACCAGGCAGTGTTTCATCCCTTACACACAGAGGGTCACTGCAACTCAGAACCAGCTCTCCAGCAGTAACAGAGTATGCAAGAATGCCGTGTGTGAGAGAGGAGGTGTTCCCAGCCTGAGTGTAGGAACCGAACCTTGTATCACCCTCTAAACTCTTGACCCCGCCTCCTGGGGGTCAGTATTAGCCTCTAAACACCACTTCCTTGAACTGGAGAGAGTCCCACCCCTACCCCCAGCAGACATCAGGAACTGAGTCTGACATCTGTGGTTTCTTTTTTAATTTTTTTATAATCCTTAAAGCCTTTTTATTTGCAGACTAGTGTGATGGCGCAGAATCACATGTGGGTTGTTGGGTTGTTGTTGTTGGGTGTCATTAAATCAGAACTGGCCCATGGCTGACCCTCCGGTAGGTTTTCTGAGGAAGATAATTTCACGGAAGGAGATTGCTCAGCCATCTCCCACAGAGCAGCTGGTGGATTTGAACTACGTACCTTCAGGATTCGAGCGCAGCTTCTTAACCACCAGGGCACCAGAGCTCCTGTCTGTGGCTTCTTAAGTGTCAGAGCCCCGTTCTTCTGGGTATTCGGGCAGCCTCCTGTCCCACCCCTCAGAGAGGGACGGGATCCAGGGACATGCAGGTCACATGTGCTCAGTCCGAAGGTGACAGTTCCGGGGTTCCAGTGACCCCAGGACATCAGCACCTTCCTCCTGTGCCTTCCTCACAGACACCCCACACGCACACCAATCTCTTTCTCCCCCCCTGTTGCTTTTGTCAGAGTCCTGCTTCCTCTTCGTCCTGACGCATCAGAAGCTGCCACCCTTCTGCCAGCAGGGCTACCTGAGGATGCAGGGCCTGGTGGGGACCGAGCACCTCCGGCGACACGGCGTGGAGAGCGGGCTCCTGAGGGACTATGCCACCACGGCGCAGAGGCCTGGCCACCAGGTGCCAGAGGGTCACCCCCTGGCTCCAGGACCTACAGTCCAGCCCCTGGATAACACCAAGAATGAGCTCTGAGTGTTCCCACCAGCTGGAGCCAGGGCGCACTTGGCCCACCCCTCACACCCACCAGAGTGTGATTGCCGGAGACATTCACCTCAGCTGCACCAAAGCAACACAGGGGGCTGCTGGGAGCTGCATTGTGGCCCACGGGCTCCTGCCTCTTGTTCCAGTAGAGGGGTTATCAAGGGAGGACACACCATGTGAGGCCAAGATGTCCCCCATGGCTGGTGTCTCCACACTCGCTAAGTCCTAGGTGGCCCCAGTGTCATCCCCTGTCACGTGCCCCTTGGCTCTTTCCCTGCCCAGGTGGGCCTGGGCCACCAGGCAGGTTTGCCAGCCCCACAGCTTGTCTGACACCAAGGCTCGTTCTCAGCAGCCATGGAGGATGGGTGGGACCATGAACCCTGGTTCTGCAGACGCGGACACCAGCTCAGAGAATGAGGTGACTCCCAAGGCCAGGTGGCTGGTGGTCCTGTCCACCTCGTCTATTACTCTGCTCACCACAGTGCACTGCCTCGTCCCTCCCTCTGGGGACAGCAGGATCGAACTGGGCTCTGAGACCCTCGGTCCCAGTGCAGCTTATATCAGGCCTGGGGGCTGTCATCAGGTGAGGCTAGGGCACTCCCTGGGAAGCTGTCTCATCAAGTCAGGGTTGAGTTTAGAGCCCCAGAACTCAGTAGGGTCAAGCCACCCACTTGTCCAGACCTTCCAGTCCAGGTGCCTGATGTGGGGTCAGGAGAAGACCCATAGCCAGGGGGATCGCCACACTCACTGAGCCCCGAGTGGTGTCTCTATCCAGGATTGTGCCCCCAGCTGGTCTCTAACCTTGGGGTTTATTTTTCTCTCCCCATTCCCTTAATGGAAGGACATCTCGTGGCCCAGTGGTAAGAAACTGCATTGCAGTCTCAAAGGCACACAGTTCGATTCTACCAGCTGCTCCACAGGGAAAGGACAAACAATCTCTTGTTTGATTAACTGCCTCTGAAAACCCACTAGAGAGTCAGCTATAGGTTGATTCTGACTTGATAGGACACAAGAGCAACATTCTCTTAGTGAAACCCTCATGGCCTATTGGTTAAAGCCCTTGGCCTCTAACCTCAAGGTCAGCAGTTCAAACACACCAGCCTCTCCATGGGAGAAAGCTGAGACAGTCTGTTTACATAAAGATTTGCACCCTCGGAAACCCTGTGCAGCAGCTCTGCTCTGTCCTGTCCTATGACGCCAGGAGTCAGAATCACCTGGAGGGTGGTGGGGTTATTCCCTCACCTTCCACCTGCCGTGTGCATCCTGAGCCTTGCCTCTGGCTTGCACAATCCTGTTTTGTAAAAGTCCTGCTGGAGCCCCTGTGGGACATGATCTAAGTGTGGAGAGCCCAGCATGCTCACATACATGTAAGAGCTTCCTCTTTTATGATGACAATGGCAAGTTCCATGACCATCATCCTTCCTCACAAGGGACTCGCTCACAGCTCCTCCTCTCTCACCCCAGGTACAAGGAAGCCTTTTATTTTATTTTATTTAATAATTTTAATGAACATTTACAGAGAATTTGGATTTCCATTCATTCATTGCTGCACTTCTCTCCCCTCCCAGCCCTCTTCCCCCCGCCCCCCAGTTCGCTCCTCTCTTTCAAAAATAAAAGAAAGACTCCCTCCCTGGTACACAATCCCCCCGTACCCCTCCCACCACCCCAAGTACATTCCACTATGCAACCTTAATTGTGGACTCTTGTGATAACCATAATACCCTATCATACATCACTTTTAAATTATTCAGTCCCTCATCTGTTTCAGTGCAGTATACACAATTTATCCAGTTTTTCTCAGTCTTACCCCCACCCTGATATCAGTCCCATTTTATAGCAGTGGCACCATGCAATATTTGTCCTTTTGCAACTGAGATATTTCACTCAGCATAATGTCCTCCAGGCTCACACAAGGAAGCCTTTTGTCCATCTGGAGATGAACTGACCCCAGTGATTCCCCAAAGCCCAGGGTCACGCTGTTTGGGTTGTCAGTCGCCATCTGGTTGATCCCGCCTCCCAGTGACCCTATGTGTGCAGAACAGAACTGCTCAGAAAAGGGTGCACCTGGCTGGGCCCTTAGAAGCAGACTGCCAGCCAGCCTCAAGAGGTGCCCCTAGAGCATGGGTTTGAACTTCCAGCTTTTTGACTGCTAGTCTAGCGCTTACCCATTTGCATGGCCCCAGTGGCACCACTTCCCTTCCACGGCCTCAGATGATTGTTTTCTTGCCATTTCCTTCCCTTCTTCTTGTGTCCACTCAGAATGAGAAGGGCAGTGGCTTTGGGCTCCAAGTGCCTCCCTGGGGTGAGGAGGGGGCGGGCACACATGGGTACAAGCCAGGCTCCCCTGGCCACTGCAGAGCCACGCCAGTGAAGGAGAAGACTCATGACAGTTTGCACAGTCGGGACTTGTAAATGTGGGGTTTCTCCCAGGATTTGAGCTTCGGCATATTTCCTACAGATTACAGGCAGACCAAAATAAGGTCCCCCAGTTCCCCTTGCCCACACACAGAAGTCTTGGTTTGAAAGAGATCTTTGCATCAGGGCTGTCCCTACAACTAAACACTGTTACTTACATCTTGACTGCCCCTTGTTGAAAGACCAGCTGAGCCCCTTGTTTGAATAAAATTTCTAGGGATGGTGACAGTTTGTTGACACGTAAGTATGTGACATCTGCTGCTTTCCCCTTCATCTGCCAAATTGTTAATTCAATCAAAATTGTCAGCCTGTCTGATTGTTTTTTAATACGACTCCATTCTTTTCTGGCTCAGCTGCTTCCTGATGGTTTGTCAATCTCTCACTATTTTTTTTCTTATATTGTGAAAAACATATTGGGGGTATAAGGAGGAGAGGGTTGGGGGCAGAAGGGTGAGGATGGGCCAGGATGCAGTTGCAGAGCTGCACAGTTTGGTCGGT